TATATATATATATATATATATAATATTTATAAAATAATTATAAAATTAATTTTTAATATTTTGTAAATATTTTTGCGATTCTTGATTGTGTACGGAGAATTTTAATGTTTTATTATTAAATATGGGATTTAATTTTGAGAGTTTCGCGAGTGGTAAAAATATATTTTGATTAAGGTATTCATTTATTATCTTGTTTAAATAAATCAATTTTTGAGAAAAAAAAACTTTCAAAACTAAATCACACATCCAATATTATCGACGTATATGGTATAAATGTACTTTATTGTTAATAAAAACATTATAAATATTTATTATAAATAATACGAAATGTTTACTATACTCATATTGTATGAAAATACTTAATAAGACAAATTCAAGTAAAATATTTTAACTTATACACATTACATAAAATATTTAGTCTATATTTTAATGTTTTCACAAATAAAGCTTATATAAAATATATATATGAAATATTTATATAACAAAATAAGTAATTACTTATTTAAAAAAATAAGTAATAAATATTTATGAAAATTTATCGTAAATGTTCTATGTTGCCTATATACATATATGTATATATAATATATATATTATATATATATATACACATATATATATATTATAATATATCTGTATATGTGTGTACATGTGCGATTATTGTGCCGTATAAATGCTATCTGAGTAATTAATTGTGCAACTAAACAATATTTGTACAGAATAACATTTATTATTGTGATCAAAAAAGAGGTATACTAACAATCATTTTATTTAGAAACTGCGTGCACTCTTTGGGAATATAAACCAAAGGCATTACCAATAATCCAAAGCCTGTTCGGTTAGTAGCGAAATCAAGTGGAAGATAAATAGTTTTAACTAGCGTATTATTTTTTAAATCAAAGATCAATAATTTTGGATTACAGATTCGATTGAGCCCGATTTGGCCATTATCCATAACGATGATGTGGTTACATTTAATCTAGGGTTAAAGTAAAAATTTTGTTTCATATTATATTGTCATTAATCTGACTTATGTAGGTGTACCACAGCCAACGCAAATTATTCATGAACAATTCTATTTCTATTTCTAATATACCGTATATTTCGGAATAGCAAAAGAAATAAGCAGTTATTTAAACTTATTAATATAATCTTCTCAAAATAGAAGAACACTACTTTAAGAATTAATTCAGAGTATAACCTTGTGTTACATTTTTACTAGCCCGCATTTAGAACGCACTTACAAATACTTTAGCATGATATAATTCACGTTATGCATACTATACAATTTTAGAAATAAAGACGTGCTTTTATCCATAAAAACGCGTTCTGAATGCAAACTAAGAATTTAAAATCACGTTACACTTGACATTGAATATCATAAAAAATTAGATATACTTTATAATAGATATATGTATTATATAATCATACAAAAAACTATATGATATACTTTCTAATAGATATCAATTGCTAAGAAATAGTCGCGCCAATCATGGTAATTTTTTAAAACTTGGATACTTATATTTAATAAATTGAAAATCTTTTGTAAAAAATGTCTATTTATAATATAGAATTATTATAAGTGAGACCAACATAACAGGAAAGATTCACATTAGAGATTCACAAAACCTTTTCTTAATAAATTGTTATTTTTTTAATTATTATTACATATAAATATAAAATATGAATGTAACATACGTACATATATAATACATGTAGAATAAAAAGTCATCTAAACAAATTAAAGGTAATAAATACTTACATCTGTTCGATAAACGTTTACAATACCATCACATATACAACTGCTATTATACCAACTCCAATCTGGATATGGCCGTAAAACTGGGCCTCCTGGTCCTGTCTTATTAGTTACTGTCGTCAAAGTAACAGGAGAACCAGGGCCATTTAAATTAGTGGCAGTAATGAATATTCTACCATCTGTAAAAATTTTGTTAGTGAGCAAAACCTACGTTTGCTACCATAAAATATTACTTCTAATATTCCCAATTTTATGATAGTTGTAATACTATTTGAGGTATTAATCAAAGTATATATGTAGAGTAATTGTCTTTACTATTATTGTAGCTCTATTAGGATATCTTTGTACTTAAATAAACTATAAAGAAGAGTAGCACAAATATTATATATATAAGGAAAATTATTTTATTATTAAGACAAATTATGAATGCACATAATACCAAAGATAATATTCTTAATTATTATAATATAGTAAAACTATTTCAAAGTGTATGAGAAATTTATGTAAGTTCTGTAATATCGTAAAATTTTTATATTTCTGTTATTGTGTCCTGTATATATTGGAGCTGAGAGCATTGCGTTATGAAAATATTGAAAGTATAATTCTCTGTAAATATAATTAAAATAATGATTTATGTAATATTAATTTAAATAATTACCTTACATTATTATTTATTTTAGGAATTATTCTAAAATGTGTTAAATAAAGATAGACACATGAAGTAGAAGCACATTAATTAGCGCCATCGTCTAATGAAGAATACATTATTAAGGATAAATATATATTTTTTCATTTTTATTAAAAGCATAAAATATTACCTTTTCTATAGTATTCAATACCTTTTCCAGATTAAAAAAAATGTTATAAGGAAAAGAAATAATTGAAGAACCGGTATTGATTTGAAGTAGACAAAATTAAAGTTATAATATTCAATAACTAATTTAGTAATAACCATTTTTTCAACATTGAATAGAAACAATTACAATAAAATAAATTAAAATTTATCCATAATATGATTATAATAGTTTCATATTGTAACTGTAAATTGTGTGGTAATAAAAGTGTTTATATTTTCACAAAAAATTAATATATATTTTTAAGTAAGTATCTTCATTGACCTACCGTCTGCCTTACTTGCATCTGCCAACAGGCTATTGTAAGGATTGTAAGCGCCAGAATTTATCGCTGCTTCCTTCTGCTCTTGACTTTCCCATTCAAACTCAGTGTATTTCCATTCATATTGGATATTTATTTTGAGTCCGAAGTTCACAATCGCCATTGACAGAATTAGCAGAGTAAATAAAGAATAGCCCATTTTTTATAGTTTACAGATAGCAAATATTGTGTTGCTCAGGATACAAAAAGAGATTTTCTGTATAAATTAAGATATCAGATCGTCTTGAAAGTTGGATTAAATATATATTCATTGAGAATAAGTTACTTTCTTTATTATTATAATACACTTGAGAATAGTTTTGTTCTTGATGTGACTATTGGTGTACACTCTACAGCTAAAAGGTTTACAACACTTCTTTTTTGATGAATTTCGGAACTCATCCTGTTTGCAGAGTAGTTGAATATAATGAACATAAACAGAGTGGTTAGATTAATTCGATTAATAAGTATAAGAGTTAATCGCTCAATGAACAGATGCGTTATGAAACACATCGAAAAAAGTGCTGCAACTTTATTACTGATGATCGTGTCTTCTGATGTAGTAGCAGCGAAAATATTCTCTATATCTATTAGAATTTTACAAGTCTACACTGTTAACAGGTTTTTGAAAAAAATCACTTTGATACGTACATTGTTTCTGTTTTTATTAATTAATATATTAATATTAGTCTGTGTCCCGCTTAAATATTTACAATAACTTACATTTGCGTTATGAAATGCAATAATAAGTGTTGTTGACAACAATTTTTTGAAGACACATATAGATCGTGTGATTAAATTTGATTAAAGCAACTTAATTAAAATTTGTGCAATAAATTACATTTGTATATAAATTGCAACAAATTGCGCTAAATGAAAAATTTTTGAAAACGTGTGCACTGAGAAAAACTTGTTAGAAATAGATCAATAAGATTCTGAATATATTAATCAGAATTCTGTTTGTCATAATTGAACGCCTGTTTATCTCAATTGGAATTAATAGATTTAATCAGGAAATTTAGATTTGTTTATTTTTTTCAACTTGAAATTTTTCTCATTGCGTTCTTAATAATAATAATTAAATTTGTGACTTATATATTAAATTATAATAATAAATAATGTAACTAACCTGATTGGTAGACGCCTATGTCTCAAATGCAAGTTTATATAACTTATAATCACATAATTACATTATTAAAAGTCTTTTAGTGTTACGTTATTATAACAGTTACGAATGACTTATGACACTTTTACCTGCATGATAACGTATATCGTATAATGTATATGGTGTATTTATTATCATTGAGATCATCAGAAAATATTAATCATTAATATTAAAAATAACGATTATATATAAGAGAGAAAACATTCATGAAGGCATAATTAATTATTTAGTAATTATTTAGTAACATATCACTAAGCTATATATAATTAATAATTAGTCTACAGATATCGTAATTAATCTAGATATAATTAGCTATTAGTCTAGATATGACTATACTATATGAAATCCGAGTTCTTTTCAGAAACAGTGTATTATATTTGAAAATAGATCACAATAAGTTTGTTTACTTTAAAATTATTTGCAATTTATTTTGATTTATAAATATATATTTGTATAAAGTACCTGTATTTAAAAAATAAGCATTATACTCAAAAATTTATAATGAAAAAAGTAATAAAATAACAGGATCTCTATTATATGTATATACTTTCAAGTCTAATAAAGTTTATCGCCAAAAATCTTTGAAAAAATGTTTTCTTAAAAAAATTAAGTTTTAATTTTTCTCACAAATTCAAGCATAAATATTTCGTTACACATGGTGGATAAGAAGAGACTATCAAAGAACTCAATCTGATAGATATAGAGAGATATCTCATAAAGTCGTTCACAATATCTAACGTAAATCGGACTTTTCTTTGACTATTGTAAGAAAGATACGTTGCGAAAGAATCGAAAGCGTTGAAATAGTGCGATAAGAATGTCGTGTTTGTTAGGATAATACAAAGTCTTTTATTGCCAAGCTTATATACAAATTAGGAATTATTTTCTAATCGCCATAATTTATAAATTCTTTACAAAGGATTAGAAGAGCGCGAGTTACTTTTCATTCGCTTTATCTCCCTTCTCTCCACTGGCTTGTATACGCAACTGAAGACATTATATTCGACCTTTATCATGCTTTAATTACGTTTGCGTAAGAGTTCTTAACTTCTAATATCAACATCTTTTTCATTTTAGAATACACATTTTGTTTGAAAATATAGAAGACATCCAAAATCAAGATGTAGAAATGCTAATCCATCATTTTCTTTATTTCTGATAAGTTTATTTCAAAATAGCGGAAGTTTATATCACCTAGATTTAATGTATTCAGAGCTAAATGTTGAAATCTATCTGATATGCACATCATTTTGTTCCAATAACTTGAAATTTTCATTGAACTTATAACTTGAAATTTTTCATCGTCTTGCGCTAATTTCACCTTAAAATTAATATTTTATTTTAATTAACCAATAACCAATCAAATCATACTAATAACTATTAAATGTAATAATTGTTAATAGAATTTGAAATAAGATCTTAATGATTTGTATGTGTGTAAAGACTACTTGTATTTAAATATCTTACCACGTTTTTACCAGGCTCTTTACGAATATTCATACCTAGAATAGACATCCCCACGTAATCACTATAAAATATTAAATTTTCCATTGATGTAATAACTGCCGTTTGGCTTGATAATTTAGTCACGAGTTTACTTTGTTTATTAGCCTCTTCTTTATTTGGACATTTTAATAGCGTTTCCATTTTTATCTTATATATTTTTTTTCCCGATATAGGAACATAATAAAGTTCTAAAATATTTAGCAAGAGAAATAAAAAGAAATCATTTAAATATTACATCAAAATATTACAGTAAAATATTACATCAAATATGCTGTTTGCATAGATTACATTAGCCTGCAAATTTACACTTTTGGATAATCATCTAACACTTAATCAGCTTCTTTATACATTATTTCTATTGTAATTACTATAGATTTTTTACCTATTAAACATAAATCAATTTTTCATGCAAATTTAATTATATATCATATAAAATTCTGAGAGAAATAACGTCATAGAGGCAAATAATAATTTAAAAAATGTTCAAGATGTTAACACTGATAGTCAATTTTTTCTAAATATTGTTAATGATATGTATAATATGTATAGTGTATCCCTATAATGTGAAAGTATCAACTTTTAACTTTAAAATGCATCCAGTTTTGCTTTTATATGACGTACATTTTGCAAATCATTATAAATGAAATAATATTTGTTATATTAAAAGCGTGTACTTGCCATCACCAAGTATCGTTATGCTGAAGATTCCGCCCTCATAAGTAAAATTTTGGTTTGCTACAGAGAAAAAAATATCAGTCGGTTTCATGTAATCAGATTCGATTCTGCACATACGCCTTGTAGATGAGTCATACATCACTAAACCGGAACCTTTCGTATCAGTCATAAACACCTGTACATGTTTATTTACATGTGTATTGGATTACTTATCGAGTAAACGATATATTGTACATACATATACCTATGCATGTACGTAAATGTTAATTAATTACTCGGTTAATTACACGTATATATGTATACATACAAGGTGAGTCATTTTAAGTTGTACATCTCTGAAATATCTCGAAAAATATAAAAGATACGAAAAAATGTTTAAACAAAAGTTGTTCAGTTATTGGAAAGAAAGTGGTGACTTTTTGATTAATCTATAGAAAATGTTCTTAAGTTCTTAAAGTCAACTCAAGATTACGTAAAATTTTTTAAATAAAAATCTCAAATTTTAATTTTATGTTCATATCAAGAGCTGATATCAAGAACTTTTCAAAACATTACAATGTTTTTTTTTTATTAAGTATCTTAGAAGTTATTGAGCAATTAACAATTGAGCAACTTTTTGTTTAAAATATGTTTTAGTAACTTTTTTATATTTTTCGAGATATTTCAGTTTATTACTTAAAATGACTCATCCTATGTGTGTGTGTATGTGCGGTTATTGTACCGTATAAATGCTATCTGAGTAATTAAATATGCAACTATAAATATAAACAATATTTATACAGAGTAACATTTATTATTGTGATTAAAAAAGAGGTATACTAACAATCATTTTATCCAAAAACTGTGTGCATTCTCCGGGAACATAAACCAAAGGCGTTATTAATAATCCAAAGCCTGTTCGGTTAGTAGCGAAATCAAGTGGAAGATAAATAGTTTTAACTAGCGTATCATCTTTTAAATCAAAGATCAATAGTTTTGGATTACAAATTTGATCGAATTGATTCATTTTGCCATTATCCAGAATAATTATGTGATTGCATTGAATCTAGGATTAAAGTAAAAATTCTATTCCATATATTGCCATTAAACTGACTATTGTACATGTATGCAATGTGCCCCAGTTAATGCTAATTAATCATGAAAAACTCTGTATTCTCAATGTGTATTCAGGCAATTAAAAATTTGTAAGAGATTAATTTTAACAAAAATTTTTAAGTTAATTCCATATTTACAATAGGGATCTACGTTAACACCTTTTCTTCTAATAAAGCGTTGGTTATTTAAATATTATTATATACAAAAATAAACTAATAATTATTTAATTGATATTATCATATATAAATATAAGATAAAAATTCAACATACTATTATATATATATATGTATATATATAATAAAGAACCACTTGAACGGATTAAAAATATTGAATACTTACATCTGTTCGGTAAACATTTACAATACCAGAACACATACAACTGCTATAATACCAACTCCAATCTGGATATGGCCGTAAAAGTGGACCTCCTAGTCCTGTTTTATTAGTTACTGTCGTCAAAGTAGCAGGTGAACCAGGGCCATATACATTAGTAACAGTAATGAATAGTCTCCCATCTGCATTTAAGTAAATATTTTGTTTGCAAACGAAATCGACGTTTGCTACTAAAATTATGTTTATTTCTTTAATTTCAGGCCAGAGTAGTAATGCTATGTGTTTTGCATTAACGATTGTCAAATCAAAGAGCATTTTACATAAGTGGGCGCCTGTCCCTATAAGGGGACCTGCCAATTCCATACAATTTACTAGAATTCTAGCATATATTACTTTATATTTTTCTCCATACGGATATTATCTCCAAAGATACCCGTTATTAAGATTTCGTATCAAATCTGTCAATTTACTGTTGATTCATCTCTTACACATAAAGAAGATACATATACTTTACAATTGCTGAAGAGGACTCCGAAATGAGTCGAAACGTACAATTTGATGGAATAAAGGATTTTAAGTGAAACAATTTTATATAAAAAAATTTTTTACTTGCGTACCGATAACCACTCTTAACTCTTATTTGCCGGCTTTTTTGCCACTATTAATTTTAATTTTGGAGAGTCCGTACTTTCGTACTTTTTTTATGATTTTGACTATATGCTAATATTATAATTAAATATACTATACTATTATAATTATATTACATTTAAATACTATAACTATAAAGTGTGTGAGAAAAGTATTAATGTTTTTACATAAAATTAAGTATTATAAATTTTTCGAATAGTCCGTCATCAACTTACCATCCGCTTTACTTGCATCTTCGAACACGCACTTGTACGGATTGTAAATGCCGGAATTTATCGCTGCATCCTTCTGTTCTTGATTTTCCCATTCAAAGTCAGCATATTTCCATTTATGTACAACATTTACTTTAATTCCGAAGCTCACAATCACCATTGACAGAATTAGTAGAGTAGACAAAAAATATTCCATTTTTTAGTAACTGATATATAGCTTACAATAACACAAGATGTAGTTTCTAGCAATGTTACCCTTCTAAAAACTTATGCACTTCCCAAGATTCACAAAATTAACGTCCGGTTTCGGATTACAGTGTCTTCTGTAAATATGTTAAATTATATGTAATTATATACCATATATGCATATGTTATATTATATGCATTAGCTCTGGAGAGAATCATCTCAGATAGTATTCTTTAGCTAGAAGACATGTAAGTAACAGTTTTGAGCTTTCTAAAAAGCTTTCTGGTATAGAGATGGATGAATCTTATATAGTTGTCTCCCTGGACGTTGATCTCTTTTCACAAATGTTCTTTTGGATGTAGTTATTATTGGTATCGAAAAAAGATGAGAATGCATTAAAAATTTTTCTAAATTGCTAAGGGAGGAGTCTCTATTTGTCATTTTATATTATATTATATCATCTACGAATAGCATTACCTAGACTAGTAATATCATTAAAAAATTACTGTCGGAAATATTCTTTTTATTGAAATGCTGGATTTAATTTATACTATAACTATCATGTGAAGTTCGTCATTACATATTACTTTTTTTTAATAAAAAAATCGTTTTTAACTTTAATTTATTTATATTATTTTGCTTCGCTGACTATTAATAATATTGGATTTAACATTGAATGCCGCTGTCAAACGAAGATTTATGTTATGATTTTACATCTTGACTTTAATTATTGCGAATATGATGTGCCAAATTAATTGTACAAAACTGCAACTATTGGACTACAACAAATGTCTGGCGGATGAATTTCAAATTCTGTCTTTTTCTCTCTCTATTAATATATAAATACTATATGTAAGATCGCATCTTTTACGCTTATAAAACTAATGAAGGCTCCATTGAGTCGAAACATTCTTTTTTGTAAATTAACTTTTAAGTTATATGTTTTAAATACATTTTAAATAATTTTTATTTAACACCTATTGTTGCTCGTTAATTGTTTTTAAGATACATTGTTTTGCTATGCAAACATACTAGCATTATTATTTGGTATACTATATTACAGATAGTATAACGTTGTGTTGTTCAGAGCTGTACAAAAAAAGGATTTTCTATCAAGATACGAGTTTGTTTTGGAACTTAGAACTTCAAATTAAAAAAAAATTATGTGTGTATTCTTTTAATAAAATATTGATTAAAAAATTCTTGCTGCGGTTCTTAATGTGCAATCATCAGTTTAAGCGTTGCAACTTTTTTTTCAATAGATTTCAGTCTTGTTAGAGCGGGTAAATATAAATAATTAGATCCATTTAATTCATAAGTAAACACCAGTTGCTCCATGAGCAAGCTACATTCTGAAACTCGAATAAAAGTGTTGCAACCTTTCAATTGATGAGTGTAGACGATCTTTCGATGTAGTTGCAGTGAATATATTCCTAGTAAATATTTGCCAAAATCTCACAAGTTCACTCACTCTTAATAAGTTTTTGGAAAAAACAACCCTGATAGTATGTAGTAAATTTCTGTTTTTATTATTAATATACTTATAATATTTGGCAGTGTTTCAATTTAGTTTTTTACGAAATGCAAATTGCATTGTGAAATGCAATAATAAGCTGTACTTGATAACAATTCTTTTTGGAAGGCACGTGTGTATGTGATGCATGAAAGTAATTTGATTTTGCAATAAATGGCATTTGTTTGTAATAACGATAAATTGTGCTAGTGCAAAATTTTTTAAAATGCGTGCACTGAATAAAATTTCTGGTTGAAAATGACCGAACTAATAAGATTCTATATAATCATATTAATCACAGAATTGTGGTCATGATAATTGAACATCTGTATAGCTCAATTAAAATTTAATAAATTTTATTAAGAAATTTAGAGCCGTTTATTTTCTCAACCAAAATTTTTTCTAAAACATAATTAATACGAATATGAAGCTTATAACAGTCTAACTTGAATCTTAGTTGCTTATATATAATTTCGCGTGAATTTATATACTGATATATACATATAGTCTTTCTAAACTGCACGCCAAACAATTGTCGGTCTTGAAACGCAACTCTAATAAACTACCGCAGTACTATCACGAATTAAATTGATTAACAATTTAATAATTGATGCTCTTTTTTGGTATTCTATATCAATGTTAAACTATATTAAAATCTTAAAATAATAATTCTTCTTATTACGAAAAATATTACCTCGGCCGGGAGTCGAGTACTTTTTTAAAGTACTTCTTAACAATTAAGTTTGTTGCGACTTATGAATTGGAATAAAATAATATAACTGACCTGTATCGTTAGACACATATGTTGTAAATGCAAGTGCAATAACAATTGCTTGGCAGTTATATTTTTTTCTACGAATATGTATAATGAAAATGTTTTCAAAATACATTTGGTTACACAATCTATAATCATAATTACAGTCATTAAAAGTTGTTTGACTAAGCGTTACATTATTACAATGTTTTTAAATGATTTATGAGTGTGTGACACATTATATTACTCATGTATGGAACATGTACAAATCATATACATACACTACACACACACACACACACACACACACACACACACACACACACACACACACACACACACAAAATCCAACGAAGATAGGGAACATTTTCGAATATGCTAAAAATTAAGCAATATTCAAAACACCATAACTTGATGAAAACCCATCCCAGACCAAAAATATAAAAAAGTATTTAAAGATTGAAATCTTTACTATGAAATCTGTAATTGAAATTTCAATATGACTGATCCTTTACAGAGTTATACGGACACAAATGGATATACGTCAAATCTGAAAATTTTGCACAAACTTTACAAAGGTTTATGGCGTAAGGTAAAAATTACACGAAAATGCGGTTTACAACAATCGAAAGAGTGAATCTTTACATTCAATTTGCTTTTTTAATGAATGTTGTAAAACGATCCTTGCTTTAACATTGAATAACTCAGTAAAAAAGATTGTTTTGTATCAGCTAGATAACATATTAATGTATAACATTAATATGTTATCTAGCTGATACAAAACAATCTTTATTCACATCGTCTTTTCACATGTATAGTTTATTTACAGTTATAAACACTATGTACAACTATAAACAGTTCACTAGTAGACAAATTTAGCTGTCCAAATTTATTCAAAAAATGTTTAAAGTTATGCCACTGTATCTCGTGACAAACACCTAAGGGCATTGTGACGCCCTAAATCGCCTTTTGACAATACCTGGGGGTGTTCGCGTATTCACACTATTCATCCTGAGCCGTTTTTTGACACCGCCTAGGGACGCTCAGGCATTCATCCTGAGTCGATGGTCGGAACGTACCGCGGATAACACAGACGCTCGGAAATCCACTTTATCAGAATCGAAACTGAGGACTAAGCTCGGACACGATGTGAACTGTCGCACGATCGTCGATCGAATAAATCTTCGACCGCGATCATGATCACCCCATGGCCTTTCCATTCGACTCTTAATTGGTATTATACAATTTCCAAAAACGTAATTGTCACGGAGCCGGGGCGACATAGAAGCTGCGACAAAGCGGCGACAGCGCGTTATTACTTATTTTTATGTGTATGTATAATTTTTTAAAATTAAATATAAAAGATTTGTAAATTGATCTTTTGCAGTATATGTAAATTTATATAATGTACACAATATTTTTACACATATATATATATCTACATCTTACATATATTTGATATATTATGTTATATTGTACATATATAATACATATTTATTAATATATTTTATATTTTATATTTTAAAATATAAAAATCAAGATTTAGAATTGCTAATATATCTTTTTAATTTTTTGCATTTTGTTTAGCATAATTCGATTTCGAAATAGCGGAAATTGATTTCATTTGGATTTAATGTATGATAACATTGAAATCTGTCAGATATGCACTTTAGCTGACACCCATTACTTGAAATTTTCATTGAAGCTACAGATTGAAATTTTTCGCTGTCTTGCGCTAGTATCTCCTTGAATTAAATAAAATTTTATTTTACTTTATAAAATCATACCAATAACTATCAAATATAATAATCGTTATTATTTGACTTAATTTCTTAGATTGATATGTAAAAAATAATTACGGATATCTTACCGTTTTATATGTAGTGTTGAGTTGTTTAGAAACTTTTGTGCGTAGAATAGACATTGCACTAAAATCATTATAAAATATTGATTGTCCCGCTGATGTGAGATCTATTGTTTGGCTTGATAATTCTTTAACAAGTTGAGTATATTTATTAGCCACTTCTTTGTCTGGACATTTTAATAGCTCCTTTATATTTATTTTGTATATTTCCTTTCCAGATACAGGAGCAAAATAGAGATCTAAAATATTTAAAATAAAGTAAGTTAAAATAAAACGGATATTATTTGGAAGTTACAAAAAAATTTAATTAATTATTTGTAAAGAATTTTTCTATACTTTTGAGGTTTCCACGGGGTACCTTCTGTATAGAAACTATGTGTCTTGTAGGTTATCTCCGTGTCTATGTCCATTATTGAAATGCCAATTGTTGCAGATCACGAAACTTTGGCGATCTATGGATAGACATGGAGAAAACCCTCAAAATATATATAAGTTTTTAGTAGAATTTCTTTATATTTTATATGAATTGTTATCAGCGCGCAAAGCATAAATATATTATAATAACAAATAAATGGATATTAACATCACATAAAAAATAAATTACGAATGCAAATGGTAATATGTGTCAATATAAAATTAAAGTTGAATATTTTAAGATTTGCTATGTAGGATAAGATTAAATACAATTAAAATAATATTTATTATGTTAAAATCGAATACTTACCATCGTAAAGAATTGTTAAACTGAAAATGCCGCCTTCATACGTAAAACTTTTGCTTAGTATAGAAAAAGAAGTATCTGTCGGTTTCATGTAATCAGATTCGACTCTGCACATTCGCTTTGTAGACGAATCATACACTATTAAACCGGAACCTCCCGAATCAGCTATAAATACCTATGCATATTTATAAGTAAATATTGAATCAGGTAAAATAAAAGATGTATATATATAATTAAAATTATTATTAAATAATATTTGCATAAATGAATATGTGCTACTGTGAGAAGACATACTATCATTTCATCCAGAAATTGCGTGCATTCGCCATTTGGAATATAAATCAAAGGCTTTATTAATAATCCAGAACCCGATTTATTCGTAGCAATATGATGTAGAATGTTAATAGTTTTAACTAGTGTATCATCTTTTAAATCGAAAATCAGTAATTTTGGATCACAGATTTGATCGGTCCCAATTTTACCGCTATCCAGAACGAAAATGTGATTGCATTTAATCTGAAATAAAAGTAAAATCTTTATTTTATGTATTGTCAAACTTATTCTATTGTACATGTAGTTGCGTGTAATATACATAATAAATTGTTGATTGAATATTAATATTATATATTATTACATATAAATCTAAGAAATGATATTTTTTCTTGAATAAAAGGCACGGATATATACTTACATCTACTCGGTAAACATTTGTAATACCATTACAGCTATTATTGTACCATTTCCAATCTGGATATGGTTCTAAAATTGGATCTTCTAGTTCTGTCATATTAGTTACTGTCGTCAAAGAAGCAGGTGAAGCATGTTCATTTATGTTGGTAACAGTAATGAATAGTCTTCCATCTATAAGAATTTTTTTGTAACCGAACTTACTTTACGTTTACTACTATCAGTTGTATTTATTTAGAATAGAATCATAGAAAAGATAAGAATCAAATGCAGTTAGTGTGTGAAGCTCAAAATTAGCTTATAGTTTTAAGATTTAATTATTATATTTGATATTGATCACGGACGCTTTCGACATAATCGATATTTTAAAATATTGTATTGTCGCAATTTTGATATTCAATATTTACATCGGAATTTTTAGTTTCCGTATAATAGTATATGGGATCTGGAACTTTATATCTAGATATCAATTGAATCGATACAAATGCAGTATTTCCAAAATATAATTACGCACAAATGTATGCACGAAGAAAATTATTCATTCTCTCATAAAAACGTAGGTAAAAATGTGATTTGATAGTTTTCTTTATGCATATACGGCTATATGCGAGTTTGTATGGATATACTCTTAGTATCATCCGACATAATAGATGTTGCAGCCTTTTTGCGAAATCTTTTTGCAAAAAGCCTTTTCCCGAAAAGGCTGATTTCGCAAAAAGGCTGCGGCATAAACACCGTATTGATTTACATAAGATGCTCATTGGTCTAGCGACATTATGCTATGGTTCTGCAGTTTCCATTTTATGTGTGATGACCCTAATTGGTTAAGATATTTCTCATAGTATCTTGCACCTCTAACTAGATTATAATTGTTATCCATTTATCCATTCTTAATTTCAAGACCGTCTCAAGCAATGTCATAAGATGCTACATATAGTTTTCTGATTAAGCATTAGCTTAAGATCATCTCGAATTCTTGAGTAACATCTATAGATTCCGTTCTATGTAATTCTATAGGTCTGTTAGTATTGTTTGAAATTTCCAGAAATTTTTGCATTTAAAACGAGATAAATACTCGTATATCTCTTTTATACTGCGTATTATTAATTATTATACCGCACATTTTGATTCGCAGTATGTATCAATACAAAACAAATAAATATGATAATGAAATCGGCCGATGACGGTCAAGCAGGATTTTGGTTGCTAAAGTAATGTGTGAATTTTATTTACCACGTATGTAGTCCTCAATCGCGTGCCGAAATTTTTTCAGACTTACAATGCAACTCTAATCAACTACCGTAGTAATATCACTTTTAGTTAAATTGACACAAGCAATCTAACAAATTTTTGATGCTTTTAGCATCTTATTGGATCTTAATAATATGTTCAAAGACATATTAAAATTTAACGATGTAATGTTAAAGTAATGATAAATTAAAATCTTTGAAAAATATAAGATTGTGAGAAATATCACAAGTTGGCGTTTTGTCCCGGCTTGCCACTACTAGATTCATCAGTAAGGTAATGTAGTGGGAGCCTATCTTAGACGCCTATTAGAAAATCCTGCTTGACCGTCATCAGCCGATTTCATTATCATATTTACTTGTTTTCAATATCGACGGTCTTACACAAATCTTAATTTTATCAATACAAAATATCGAAAATTGTGCTTTCCGCGTAGCAAAAAAGTGTATACATATATATAATGATATTTTCTAATATCAAATCATTTCTAATCAATATGTTGCCGTATCAGTAAATTAGTGCCAAAACACTACCGTATCTTCTGATACTGTGGATTTCGATTGACAATGATAAGAAATATCGATAATCTGTGCCACACATCCATAAGTTATAGTTACATATGGAAAACGAAGGAACGAAGTTAATTACAGTTACTGAAAAAGGTAATTATAACTATAACTTACAAGTAATAAGTAGGATTCGAACGTTCGGGCTCGGTCACGGGCTCCACGCGGAGAATCACTGCGCGATTGCTGAAATAAATTCTCCGCGTTTTGTTAACATTTTGTTCACCACGCCGCGCGCCAGCGGTTCTCCGCGCGGAGCCCGTGACCGAGCTCGAACATCCGGATCCTAGTAATAAGTCACTTTCCTGTAAAATCGTTACAATCATTTTCTTTTTATTACTTCACTATTAATTTACCTTCTGCTTCATTTGCGTCTTCGATCATGCACTTGGTAGGGTCATAAATGCCAGAACGTAGCGCGTCTTCCTTATGTTCCTTAGATAGCCATTTAAATTCAGCAATATTCCATTTATATATATCCTTTACTTTGTATCCGAAGCTTACAATCACCATCGACAGAATTAGCAGAGCGAACAAAGGATGTCTCATTTTCATCATAGCTCATATAAATATATATATATTAGGTATAGATAATAATGTTGTAAACACGGAATTTTCTAGATAAGAATTTGTCTTGAAAGTTTAAATGTTAATTCTTAAGATAAGTGACTGATGTAAAAAATATATTGATATAGATATCCACTGTAGCTATACATATCTCCGACATAAATAAGTCTCAATTCACTTCTTCCGATATTATATATAGTATAGTCCCTGTCTACACTTACGTGAAAGAGATGTGCTATTTTGGTCGCAAAGTCGTAGAAAATATAAAACGTATCTTGTTAAGTAAATAGAGATTAATGTATTAAATTGGTATTGCTACTTGAATATACTTACATGCATACACAGTTGGTAAAATTTATTCTGGAAGAATTTATAGCGGTATTTAGCCGTTAGTGGTAAATGACTTTTATATGTGCATACAACGACAATGTACAAACGAAAAGAAAGTAATTGTCTTTCAACAATCTTCCTATTGTTGAAAATCGTAGAAACAATGCGTTAAGTTTGAACATTCATAATTATTTGTGTCTTTGATCCTACAATAAAAAGTATATATGTTAAGTAAATTATTAACATTGTTCAAAATTCAAATACAAATATAAAAGTCTTATTTACCTTGTCAAAAATAAAATTAAAAAATGTGATATATGTTAATTTCTTCTGAGTCAATTTGTTATAAAATATATTTGAAGTAATAAATAAGATAATTTGCAGCTGTCAAAACTGAATACGTATTATTGTGAAAGTAAATAGGATAATGTCGTTGGAATATAAAATTATTCAGTTTGATAAAGCCTCCCCTCGCTCCTCCTGGGGACGCTAGCGGTTCATACCGGAATTCTGGAATTGTGTTGTTTGCATATAGATTTTCGTGTCAGCCACGTGCTCCCGTCCTCGCTAATTAAAATTAGATCATAAGCAATGAGAATGGTTGCAGGGGAGGAGTCATACCCCGTTCGAGGGGAGCTGGCCGTCGCATGGCGTATAGAAATTTAGTACGCGAATATAAGACCCATGCGGAGTTCGATCCCCGCGCGCTATTGGATCCATACTGAATACACCGGGAGATCCCGGTGTACCATCCAGTGCCAACGAATTCCCGGGCCTTCGAGCCCGTCGCGCATAGAATCCAAGGCAAGCCCTCTGTAAGAATCTCCGACACCCTTGCCTCCGCGCGGACGGGGAGTTTGAAGGGGCCCAAGCCCGCAGAACCACCACGGGGCAAGCCCACGATAAGAAGAGTAAAGCCCGTTGGACGCGCAGTGCGGTTGGCGGTGTTCGCACCCCCGTCGAACCCGTCGTACCAGACGGTATACGCATTGTAGTGGCGAAACCCTGACCTCGCCTCGCCCCGCCTCCGGGCAGCGCGCCGACCGCCCGGACGTCACACAGCTGCAAATTATCTTATTTTATCACTTCAAATATATTTATAACAAATTGACTCAGAAGAAATTTACACATGGACATATCACATTTTTTAATTTTATTTTTGACAAGGTAAATAAGACTTTTATATTTGTATTTGAATTTTGAACAATGTTAATTTTTACTTGTATACTTTTTATTAGAATCAAAGATAAAACACAAATAATTATGAATGTTCAAACTTAACGCATTGTTTCCACGATTCTCAACAATAGGAAGATTGTATAGAAAAAATATGTTAATTTAATTGTAAGTACAATATTTGTATGATTGAAAATGGCCCGATCGGAGTCGAAATGTCTGCTTTTGTATTAATATATGAATTAAATAATTGATCGTTAAATTAATTTGGCTCTGTGCCCTATTTATATTTTTAAATTTGTTTTATACATATTGAGCCTTCTTATGATTACATTAATAAAATTATAAAAAGTAGATATTTTTTTTTCTTTTAAAACAAATTTGTATTGAGAAAGTTTGTATTGCTGCAGAATAGTTTAAACATGCGAAACAAAAACCACAAAGAAAATCTAAGTTAGTTTAAAAGACGATACAAAAAGGTTTCTTTTAATGAGATTTTTTTCTCATTTTCTCATTTATTAAATGTGTGCGTTACATTAAAACACACACACACACACACACAGTAAGTAAAATATTATTTTAGTTACATTTAATTCTTAAGAGCTTTAATCATTTCATGTATCATTGAGCAATATAATACTGTACTTTTGGCGTAATGCGGGCGTATTTCTTTGAGTGTTCGATTCAAATTGAGTAATTGACGTCGGTAGTATGTTCACCATTGATGGAGATAAAATTCTAAATGACTTGATAATGAATTTCAAACACATCATAAAGATGATGTATAAAATATTACATAAAAAGCAAACTTTTTTTCATATAACTTATTTATATTAATACACAGTGTTGAAATTTTAATTGCGTTGAGACTTTATTCTATATATTATATTCAAAGAAATAACATATACGTAATATTAATATTTTATTTATAGATTGACTTTAATGAATAAATATATAATCGAGAATTTTATAACAAATAATGAACAGTCGTACAATTATTATTAGTGACAGAAATGGTAACAATATCATTTACCTTTATATGAGATGTACTAAATTATTTATTCTAATTCCTTTGAGAAAATATAACGCATTCCTTTAAATCTTTCTTATGTCAAGCTCACGCTAAATTAATAAATTTAACTAAATTGTAAGGCCTTACATGAACGCTCTAATCTAATCAAACGGTACCAGAAAACAGACAGCAAAACATCAAGAGCAACAACGATGCTCAAATAATAAACAAGTACGTTGTCAAGTTCTTTTAAAAAACTAAATTCATAGTGAAGGGTAAATAATTTGAATTAACTGGATGAGAATTACTTTTGTTTATTCTAACACACAGAATACAATTCTTATAATATATAGTTAACTTATTTATATTAATACACAGGAATATAATTTTTATATAATATAGTTAACCCATAATCTTTTGAATCTTTGCTAAGTCCATGTAAAATATACGTAAATTTATTTCATCTAGACGTATTATACCTTGATAGAAACGGTGAAATGTATTTGAGAGGCTTATTAGCTTACCCCAATAACTTAAAACTTCTATCGCAGTTAAACGTTGAAATTTTTCATCCTGTGCAAGTACCACCTTAAAATTAACATTTTATTTTTAGCTATAAAATCGTACTATTAACTATTAAATTAAACAACTGTTAACAGAATTTGAAACGGTTTACTAACAATGAAATGTAAAGAATAATTAGGGAGTTTTTGTAATATCGTTATTCCAGATACAGTGAACGCTAAAGTTATCTTATTGTTCACACCTAATTAAGAAAAGATAACGTGATTTTAGCGTTTACCACATTTGGAATAAACGGTATTGCAAAAACTACTCTCTATTGTGTCCGGATATCTTACCGTATTATTACCAGAATTCTTATAAACGTTCGTGCCTACAATAGATCTTTCACTAGTAAGGCTATAGAATATTGAATGTCCTATTGATGTGAGTTCTGTAGGTTGGCTTGATAATTTAACTACAAATTTAGTCAGTTTATTAGCCTGTTCTTTATTTGGACATTTTATTAGTGTTTTTACTTTTATCTTATATATTTCCTTTCCCGATAAAGGGGCATAATAAAAATCTAAAATAATTATAAAAGAAATGTAACAAAAACCATAGAAATCATATCAAAATACCATTGATTAATTATTTACATGAAGGTTTATTATGTTTTCTGAATTATTATTATACATATAATAAACAAAGAAACATAAAATATATATATGGAGCATTCTCTGTTAAATCGGCCATTTCTATATCTATTTTAATTTTTGAGATAAAATTTTTGAAAAAGTTCAAAATTTTCGTTGAAATGTCTACTTTTCAATGTATAGCTTTTTTAAACATTTAAAATAGCGAGCCCAAAATTACGACTAGAATAAAAAGTGACTAAAATTAGAAATATTTGATTGACATGTGTTTTTCAGTGTTTAGCATTACCCAGGATCAACGATGTAGGATTTTCCTCTCTTTAGGATGCTTGATTTACGTGAGTTCCCTTACCTCTCACGTTTAGGATGCTTGATTTATGTGAGTCTCCTTGTCTTTGACGTTTGTGATACGGGATCATTTATTGTGAATAAACATACAGGGTGTATGGATAATGCTAAGCATAGGAAAATGCATATCGATAAAATTTTTACAATTTCAGTCACTTTTATTCTATTTTGTAACCGTTATTTTGAATTTTTAAAAAAACCATACTGCATCAAAAAGTAAACATTTGAACAAAAATTTGGAGCTCTTTTAAAAAATTTTTATTTCGAAAATTTTAATGGGCAGTAGAATGACCGATTTAATAGAGAATATTAAGATAAGAATGAAAAATGTTTTAAATAATGATGTTGGATCAATTATTTAAAATTCCAGTTAAAATTACAAAAATTACAGTAATATCTATTGCGTTAAAAAGCGAGTACTTGCCATCACCAATGATTGTCATACCGTAGATACCAAAATCTAACGGAAAATTGTTACCATTTATAGATAAGGAAGCATCAGTCGGTTTCATATAATCAGATTCGACTCTACACATACGTTTCCTAGATGTGTCATATACCACTAAACCGAAACCTACTGGGTCAGCCATAAATACCTATTTATAATATTTATGTATGCATTAAATTATTATACCATTATGATTAAAATAAAGCATATTGTTAAAAAATGACTAACAATCATTTTATCCAGAAATCCTGTGCATTTTTTGGTAACATAAACGAGAGGCTCTATCAATGATCCAGAGCCTGTTCGGTTAAAAGCAATATCAACTGGGATGTAAATAGTTTTAACTAACGTATCATCTTTCAAATTGAAAATCAATAGTTTTGGATTACAAATTTGGTCATTCAGGACTGCACCAAAATCCATAACAAAGATATGGTTACATTGAATCTGAAATGTAAGAATAAAAATTGTATTTTATATATTTGTCATCAAACTGACTGTTGTCCGTGGCATATCTGTTCGTTATGATTACGAGCTAATGATAATTATTAACATTTAGTCATTTAACTATTGATTGGCAAATAGTAACTATTCACTAATAGTAATAATTAGATTAGATTCTCAATGAAAACTATTGACGCTTAAAAATACGATTGAGTAAATCAATGGTTATTATACATTACTCAACTGAATTAAACGATCATCTATTCTACCCTGCAAAAATAGGCAAACTTCAAGATAGAATAACTTTGTCAAAAATCATCGTATCGAGATATATAAAAAAGCGTTTTACAGCTCAAAATACTTTTCAGATTGCTATTTTAAAAAACGATCTTACTGATATTTTATGAAGTTGCGCAAAAATAAATGATGCATCAGATCAAAATTTTTATGAAATTTGTGGAGCTTCACGGCGCGAACTAAAAATTGTACACAAATGTGACTTCGTTTCGTTCAACCTTATTACAACACAAATCTAGAAACAGTCTACCTACTTCTTTATTTGTTAAAAAAAAATTTACAAGAAACTAACAAAATAGAAACGGGAAGAATTGTCGTGATGTTATTTTTAAGTTGACTCGCGTGCATAATTATATATATGTGTGTCTCATGTGCTATAATATTTCCTTGTGCGTGTGTGATTCTAAATAGCTGATCTGTATTATTTCATGCTGTAGTTATTTATAACTTTCAAACCAATTATGAAATTTTAATTGCTATTGCGGGATTATAGCTGGCATAGTAATAATGCTACATAGTAATAATGCTACACTATAACATTTAGTCAATAAAAATTGTAAATTATTAGATTCATTTACAAAAGAAATATATTTTGACTGTATATGCATTCCATTCTTTTCATATAAACCAGATGTATGTTATTATAATACTATTTAGTAGTGATGTTTATATGAATCATCAAAGGTTATGTTCCGACATGCACTACCGGAATAGGCAATATTGATAAAAAATTATTCTGTTATTATCACGCAGTGTGCTGCGATAACGTTTAGTTCCATTAATGGTAGCTATATTGCCAATGAGTGCGATTATTGCAGCTCTCAAAGTGAGGCAGTTCCAATGCAATACAACGTCGAATAAAAAAGTTATTAGATCTAGAAATAAATAAGTTCTTTGAAAAAAATATTATCTTATCGAAATCCTATTACTTATGTTCAAAACTTCTAATATGCTATCAAGTGCATTAATATTTACATTTAGTGCATTCGTGTTTATTATAAATCTACGACTACTGCATGCCATTCGGAAATAGCCACAGTATTAGAAATAGTATTGCTAACAAGTAATTTCGGAACGCTACACGCGCTGTGGCAGTAGATTATTGTGATGTCATGATGGTTGCATTACTAGTAAAAAAGAAACATACCAAAATTAGCAGTATGATAGAAGAGAAAGTAACGTTAGATGCGAATACACAGTTTGGAATCATCATGAAATTAATTCTCGAATTTAGGAAAAAACATCTTTCTTATCATAATTTTACCGTATGTATCCTATTATATGTAGAATAAAAATGTATTGATCAATAATAATCATTTTAGCATTAATTAGTAATAAATAATTAATACCCATAGTTACTATTCGCCAACTTACAGTCGACGAATTAGTTACTATTAATTACTGTTAGTAATATCATTAGCTCCTAATCATGTATTTTTTGTAAGGGGTAAATATGCATAATATTATATTATACATAATAAAAATAAATCATTAATCACTCTTAATATATGTTACGTATAAATGATAAAAGATACAATAACTTTTTAAAGGAAAGATATTAATATACATACATGTATTCGGTAAACATTTATTATACCATCACATATACAGCTTCTATTATACCAACTCCAATCCGGATACGGACGTAACAGTGGACCTCCTGGTCCTGTTGTATTAGTTACTGTTGCCAAAGAAGCAGGCACATCAGAGCCAAAATATTTCGGAATAGCGATAAATATTCTACCATCTATAAAAATTTTGTTAGTTAGCCTATCGTACTCTAAGAGATAAATTTATTTTGCAAATTCTTTATAGCAACAGTGATAATATTGCACTAACAACACCAAAATTGCATATATGTAATAAAATGTACTGATTATATAATGCGTTTATTTAGTTAAATCATAGACTTTTATATGTTATAAGAAAAGTATTCATATCCTCTAAAAAATCATTACAAGTTTTTCAAATATTCTACCATCAACTTACCGTCTGCTCTAGTCACATCGAAAAAGATGCATTTGCTAGTGTTAAAAGTGCCGGAATTTATCGCATCTTCCTTTTGCTTCTGACTGTTCCATTCATATTCACAATATTTCCATTCATGTACAACATTCACTTCTATTCCAAAATTCACAATCGCCATTAACAGAATTAATAAAACAAACAAAGAATGTCTCATTTTTATTGTAGCAAACAATAATGTTGTGAAAATAACTTGATAACAGTTTTCACAACAAATTGCACTTGAATAGGGAATGTAAGTTATGCTAATATCAACAATGTTGTCGAGGCAATAGGAGTCCACCGCTGGATGTTAGGTTGCGAATAAATTACAATTTTTGTCTTCTGTCCACGTATGTTTCGACTTTATTCTTTAAGTTATCTGCAGCAAATATCCTTAGTTAATTACGTTTAGAAACTCATCAAATTTATATTTCACTTATATAATCATTTCAACCGGCAATAATTTTTAGCAAGATCTAAATACATCACTCACAATCAGCCGTGCAACTGAAGTGGATGGATGATTTTACTTTGATGACTCATAAATGAGAGTACAATAACGATTGCTTTTTATTTATATTTTTTTTGCCGAATACATATAAAAATGTTTTGAAAGAGCGTCATTATGTAACATGTAATTTTAATTGTAGTATTGAAAGTTTTAGACATAATTATACACATACATATACATATAACACTTATACAATACCTATAGGTAATTTGTGACACTTTAGGTACATACTTAATAATTATGACTTTTTTTATCGTTACAATGAGTGGAATATCCTTTTAAAGTTTGGCCAATTATTTCTGAAGCGCACCATATATATTAAAGTTTCTTAGTAGGTCGGTGTTATTATAACTTATAGATAACTTATAGATAACTCACTTCCTACGCATAAATTCTAATAATATATGGCATATATAAGTAGTATACGATATCTATATAAGGACATTCCTTGACGTGAGGAAAATAATTTATTATTTTTTTAAGTGCATAATGTAATAAAAAATAATGTATTTATTATATTTGTGTGTGTGTGTGTGTGTGTGTGTGTGTGTGTAGAAGTATAGAGACAATTTACATTGCTGCATTTTTTTATTTTTTATATGAGACATTCCATTATAAATCGAACACTTTTCAGACGACTATTTTTTAAATCGCTTGAAACTTTTTTTACGTGTTCTAGGCATGAAAAAAGTGGACCCGTGTCTCGGGAATTTTTTTTTTTTTTTTT